CACTATCTTTTCAACTATGTATCCTTCTTAAAAACAAAACACTACCTTTTCAACAATGTATCCTTCTTGAAAAGCAATCTATTTAGAATCACAGCAATAAGAATATAAGAGCATTATACCCTGTGGGTTTTAAGCACTAAAAACAAAAAGACCTCACGTTCCTGAAAATAAAAAGTCATGACACAGTGTTGAAGAAAATTGCACTAGCCTGAGAATGTATTCAAAATAATATGTTAACTATTTTGCAACTTGCTACTTAATCCAATCACCACAACCTCAAAAGGAAGTCACTCTGCCTGCTTTATAGACAACTCTGAAGCTCTGGGTTAGGTTGGCTGATTAGTGTCCCTGAGCTGGTTAGGTAAGCCCCTCCCTTGTAACTGGTTTTACTGAGCATGTTCCCCTGCCCCTGTTCCTCTTCTTTCCCCATCTCTGTCTCAGTGGTCTCTACTATACACACACACACACACACACACACACACACACACACACACACACACACAGACACACACACAAAAAAAATCCCTCTCCACAAAGAAGGCAATGCAGGTGTGTGTGTGGTGGTCTTGTAACTGAAGAAGAGCACTTGCTTTCTTTTTACACCTCCTGCATCCCAGAAGAAAATTACTGCATAGGAAACCATGTCATTTATTTTGGTTATTATCTGCTAACTAAAATGACTATCTGACTGTAAAAAGCCTCTTCCAACAGAGTTTTTTATATCACAGCTGCTGCTTTTATTCCTCGCTTTGGCCAAGCAGACTAAACATTTTACATGGAAGACATGGCTGTCCCTGATCCCACCTCCATCTTCAGATGCCGTGCAACATCTGTTGGCCTTCCACCACCTAGGAGGCAGACCTGGCTCAAATGCTAGAATAAGTACTTCCAAAAAGTGAGAAAACCTCAGGCAAGACCTACTTACTGTCCCACTGTAAGATATATTCTAGCAATGCCTAAAAAAACAAATACAAATATGTATTACTAGTGAATTTTAAAAAGGATTTCTAGCCAATATAATAGCACATACCTATATTCCATATCCCCGAGGCAATGGAAGGAAGATCCTCTGTTTGAGGCAGGCCTGGGTTATAATGTGAAAGTCTGTCTCAAAAGCAATAAAATGCTATTCTTTTTTACTGCCATCTCTTACAAATGTATTTTCATGCCTAATACAGCAATAGAATCCTGCCATCCAAACTACTACGTAGCTGCTCTCTCTGTGGATTCTGACTGGTACAAACACATTCACACTCTCTTGGAGAAGTAGAACTCATTGTCAACAGTTCTTTCTCAGGCTCCAACTCATACATAATCTGTATTTCAAAATGAGTAGAAATATTTGGACAAAGATAATACATCTAATTTATATATTTACAGAAAAAGGAACAGTATCAAAAGTGCCCCCCGCCCCCCACACACACTCAATTTAGTGATTTTAGTAAGTAAAGGACTCATGGCCACCTAATTTTGATGAGTTCAAGTATGGCTTATGAGTTCAAGTGACACTAAGACACAGATCTAGTGTCTCAGTATTTACATTTTAATCTTCTATTCAAATATTAGTACTATTTGTCAGGTCAAACAACCAAGCTTCAGGCACCAAGAACAACTAAAAAGGGCTAAACCCACAATTCAAGCCACCATGGACCCCCATGATAACCAATGTGGTTTGTTTTTTACACCTTTGCATTGCTAGTTAAGGGGTAAACCTCTAAAATTGGGCAGGACATGGTCATGAATAGCCTTTTCAGTGCCTATAACCACTCAAGCACAGGAGGCATCTCTGTCTTTTCAATGAACTAATAATCAAGCTACATGGGTTTTTGTTCCTAAGTGTTGATGGTTTACCACCTTCCTAATAATAGGAAGAGACCTATGTTTAACATCAGGTCTTTTCAGCTATTTCCACTTCCTAAAATTCAACCACGAACTACACAAGTTCCCTAGGACACTGTTAATGAGTATTCCTACTATTGTTCTTGGCCTATTTGTGGAATCATACAAGCTAATGGCAGTCCACTGCAGCTGGGAAGAAAGTGAGATTTATGTGCAAGTCTGCTAAAAGGAATGTCAATACTCAAGTTTTAATATAATGTAATAATACTACAGAATTATCCAAATCCCATTTTAAAAGCTATAATTTACTTCTAGGAGTAAAAATCACACTTGTACTTGTTTCTCTGATGTGGACTAATAAGCATACCCTAGGGATAGCTTGTGAACTTGGTCACCTTCAGGCACAGAATATAGAGCTGGCATTAAAGTACATGTCATACCCATAAATGTCATTAGTTAAAAAGAAAATTAAATCCCTTCTAATTGTTACTAGGTACAATTCTAAAACTAGGTACAGTATTCTAGACCAGTATACTTTATCAAAAACAAGAGTTCGTTCTTGTCTTCATCCATTGAGGGCAGGGTAAATATGCTTCCCTTGGTAGCAAACACTAATAAAAGACAAATATGGTTCCTAAGCAATGAGAAGCTGCATACCTGTAACCGAAGTTACTTCCGGGGCAATTAAATGCAGCCCCACGAACTTCCCCTTACCCCGGTTACCAGGTCTAAGCCTTCACCATCCTTGGGCCCACGTGGTTCTCCACCTCCACCACCAGACCCTGGCCAAGGCTCCGGGGCAGGGCGGGACGGCGCTTGTCACGTGGGCTGCGCGGGCGCCATCTTGCCAGGCAGAGGAGGGGCGGCCCTGCCTGGCGGCTGTCTGGGCCGCGACCGCGCGCGACCCCAGCGCCCTCGGGCGGACCCCACGCTTCCACGAGA